CCTGAGTAACAATTCTGTGGCCCTAATAACGTTTCTGTGGTCCTAAGTAACAGTTCTGTGGCCCTCAGTAACAATTCTGTGTCTGTCCCTGAGTAACAATTCTGTGGCCCTAACTAACGTTTCTGTGGCCCTAAGTAACAGTTCTGTGGCCCTCTGTAACAATTCTGTGTCTGTGTCCCTGAGTAACAATTCTGTGGCCCTAACTAACGTTTCTGTGGCCCTAAGTAACAATTCTCTGGCACTCAGTAACAATTCTGTCTGTCCCTGAGTAACAATTCTGTGGCCCTAATAACGTTTCTGTGGCCCTAAGTAACAGTTTCTGTGGCCCTCAGTAAACAATTCTGTGTCTGTCCCTGAGTAACAATTCTGTGGCCCTAACTAAACGTTTCTGTGGCCCTAAGTAACAAACAATTCTCTGGCACTCAGTAACAATTCTGTCTGTCCCTGAGTAACAATTCTGTGGCCCTAACTAGCGTTTCTTTGGCCCTAAGTAACGATTCTGTGGCCCTCATTAACAATTCTGTGTCCCTGAGAGTAATGCTTCTCTGTCCCTAAGTAACGTTTCTCTGTCCCTAAGTAACGTTTCTCTGTCCCTAAGTAACGTTTCTCTGTCCTCAAGTAACGTTTCTGTGGCCCTAAATCTGTCCCTAATACAGAGCGGTCTGCCTCTGTTGAATGACTGGAGGTAAATGAAGAATTCTAAAATGGCCGCTATTTATAGCTCGACCATTACACAGTGCTGGCTGGCTGGCTGCTGATTGGCTAATGCGATCACATGTCATTTAAGGAATGCATTATGGGTCAGCGCGCCTTGTCTGCGCGCCTTCCCAGACATCCCCGCTCCGTCGCCGCACATGTCCGCCGCCATTTTAGGAAAAATTTTGATTCGCGCGTCCGAAGTAGCCGCTATTTTTCGGATTCGGCGCAAATCGAAAATTTTCCAATATTCGACTCGAATTCCACTTCGCCTACTTCGATTTGCTCATCTCTACTCTATATATATATATATATATATATATATATATATATAACAAGGACCACAAAAAAAAAATCAAAAAGTATTTTTTAACCACTTCCTGTCCGGACACTTTTACACCCTTCCTGTCCAGGGCAATTTTCAGTTTTAAGCGCTATCACACTTTGAATGACAATTGCGCGGTCATGCAATACTGTACCCATATGAATTTTTTACCATTTTTTTGAGACAGATAAAGCTTTATTTTGGTGGCATTTATTCACTGCTGGGATTTTTATTTTTTTTGCTATGTAAATGAAAAAGTCCAAAAATTTTGAAAAAAATTGTTTTTTTTTAATAAAATTTTGCAAATACATAATATTTCATCATAAATCTTGGCCAACATTTATTCTGGTTTTTTTTAGTTTAAAAAAAAAAAATCCAAATTAGTTTTATAACCAAAAATTATAATTTTTAAACATTTTTTTTACATTTTTATTTTATTTTTTTTTATATTATTATTTTTTATTTATTTATTTTTTTACATTCTGTCACCCTAGCAGTACAGTGTCACCATGGTGACACTGTACTACTTGTGGGGGGTGATGAAGATTTTTTTTTTTTTTTTTTTTTTTTTTACACTGATTGCATTTACAACCCATATAGGCTGTAAAAGCAATCATTTCTCTTTCTCTCTATCTTCATTGAGAAGTACTGAGTGAGCTGTGATTGGTCACAGCTTGTCACATGGTACAAGGCTGTTGTGAAAAGCCTTGTACCATGTGACCTCTGTGATCATTCACAGATTTCACACGTAGTAAGCAATGATGTCACAAGTGACATCTTGCTTACTACTTTGCATGTGATCACTGATTGGCCAATCAGTGATCACATGATCGGGTCTTTGTACAGAGGTCCCGTCCGTCGATCGGTGTTTCACTGTGTCCAGAGGACACAGCAGGCACTGGATCGCGGTGCTGCGCGCTCCCAGGGAGCGCGCACAGCTAGAAAAGGCGGGTGCCATTTATGAACGGCAACCCGCCCCTGGAATGCCACCGCCCTGCCATTTATATACATCAGGCGGACGGCAAGAGGTTAAGTATGAATCAAGAAAAGTCATTCAACAACTCAAGTTCAATCAATAAAGTGTTCTTCTGTGAACCCTCCTTTTGGATAACGAAAAATATGTGCATCTGTCAATTCCCGTGCAAAGACATCCTCCACCATATATCTGCTCACCTCACGCAGTGTGACCGCACATTATACAATGTTACCTCTAACTGCACTTTTGGTCCCATATGGACTCAGAAGATCAGTGTGTTGAATGAGGACTCCAAAGTAATCTCCCTCCTGATAAGCGTCTTTGTATCAGCCGTATATTCCTCATTACAAAGAACCCCACATAGTGCTTTATCCTTTTACACTTTTATTCATCAATTAAACATAAGAAATGCACTCACGTTCCGGAGGTGTATATTGCACCAGGTATGATGAACATCCAGTGATGTACTGATTAGACACTAGATGGCAGTATCATCTCAGCAGCAGAGTCCCTACATGCTCAAACCAGACCCCATCCGTAATGTAATGCCAGGCAAAGCACGGGGCCACTTAATGAATGCTATTGCCTGCTGTAATGTCGTTCCAAGAGCTGATTACAGAGTACTATAACCGCTGTCCCAATGAATGGTAATGTCGTAACCTCATCCACACACTCCTACCCGGCCCCTGCATTCACTATATTTCGCTCTCCCCCCGAACCCTGAATTCAATATATCCACTCTCAACGGACACTGCATTCACAATATCTGCTCTCCCGGACCCTGCATTCACTATATCTGCTCACCCAGGGCCCTGTATTCACTATATCCGCTCTCCCCAGACCCTGCATTCACTACATCCGTTCTCCCAGGAACCTGCATTCACTTTATATACTCTCCCCGGGCCCTTTATTCACTATATCCACTTTCCCAGGACCCTGCATTCACTATATCCGGTTTCGCCAGACCCTGAATTCACTATATCTGCTCTCCCCGGACCCTGCATTCATAATATCCACTCTTCCCGGACTCTGCATTCACTATATCTGGTATCCCCAGACGTGGCATTTACTTTACCTGGTCTCCCCAGACCCTGCATTCACTATATCTGTTCTTCCCGAACCTGGCATTCACTATATCTGCTCTCCCTGTACCCTGCATTCACTATATCGACTCTCCCCAATCACTGCATTCAATATATCAGCTCTCCTCGGGCCCTGCATTTACTATGTTTTTCACGCGGACCCTGCATTCACTATATCCACTCTCCCCAGGCCCTGCATTCACTATATTCGCTCTCCCGTACACCTGTATTCACTATATTCGCTCTTCCTGGACCCTGCATTCACTATATCCGCTCTCCCCGGACCCTGCATTCACTATATCTGCTCTCCCCGGACCCTGCATTCACTATATCCGCTCTCCCCGGACCCAGTATTAACTATATCCGCTCTTCACGGAACCTGCATTCACTGTATTCGCTCTCCCAGGGACCCTTCATTCACTATATCTGGTCTCACTGGACCTTGCATTCACTATATTCATTCTCCCAGGAACCTGCATTAACTATATTCGCTCTCCCAGAACCCTGCATTCACTATATCTGGTCTCCCCAGGCTGTGCATTCACTATATCTGCTCTCCCTGGACCCTGCATTCACTATATCTTGTCTCTCCAGACCCTGCGTTCACTATATCTGGTCTCCCCAGACCCTGAATTCACTATATCTGCTCTCCCCATACCCTGCATTCACTAAATCCACTCTCCCGGAATTCTGCATTCACTATATCCACTCTCCGGACCCTGCATTCACTATATGTTGTCTCACTGGACCCTGCATTCACTATATTCGATGTTCCCGGACCCTGCATTCACTATATCTTCTCTTCCCGGACCCTGAATTCACTTTTTTTGCTCTCCCGCACCCTGTATTCACTATATTCGCTGTTCCCGGACCCTGCATTCACTCTATCTCTCTTCCCAGACCCTGCATTCACTATATCCATTCTCCCAGGACCCTGCATTCTCTATATCCTGTCTTCCCAGACCCTGCATTCACAGTATCCGCTCTTCCTGGACCCTGCATTCACTAGATCCACTCTCTGCAGACCCAGCATTCACTATATTCGCTCTCTCAAGGAGGCCCTGCATTCACTATATCTACTCTCCACGGACCCTGCATGCACTATATCCACTCTCCTGGACTCTGCATTTACTATATCCACTCTCCATGGACCGTGAATTCATTATATGTGGTCCCCCCAGAACTGCATTCACTTTATCTGCTCTCCCTGGGCCCTGCAATCACTATATTCGCTCTCCACAGACACTGCATTCACTATATCTGCTCTCCCTGGACTCTGCGTTCACTATATCTGTTCTCCCTGGACCCTGAATTCACTATATCTGTTATCCCTGGACCCTGCATTCACTATATTCACTCTCTCTGATCACTGCACATTATACAATGTTACCATCTAGCTACACTTTTGGTCCCATTTTGGACTCAGAAGATTTCAGGTTATGAATGAGGACTCCAAAGTAATCCTGCCTCCTATAAGCGTCTTTGTATCAGCCGTATTCCTCATTACAAAGAACTCCACATAGTGCTTTTATCCTTTTACACTCTTTATTCATCAATTAAACATAAGAAAATGCATTCACTATCACGTTCCGGAGGTGTAAATTGCACCAGGTATGATGAACATCCAGTGATGTACTACTGATTAGACACTAGATGGCAGTATCATCTCAGCAGCAGAGTCCTGATGTACATGCTCAAACCAGACCCCATTCCGTAATGTAATGCCAGGCAAAGCACGGGGCCACTTAATGAATAAAAGCTATTGCCTGCTGTAATGTCGTTCCAGGAGCCGCTTACAGATACTAGAACCGCTGTCCCAATGAATGGTAATGTTGTGTCATCATCCGACCCTGCACACTCCTACCAAATCCTGCATTCACTATATATGCTCTCCCCGGACCCTGCATTCACAATATCTGCTCTCCCGGGCCCTGCATAAACTATATCTAGTCTCCCAGGACCCTGCATTCACTATATCTGGTCTCCCAGGACCCCTGCATTCACTATATACGCTTACCCCCGGACCCTGCATTGACAATATCCGCTCTCCCCGGACCCTGCATTCACTATATCTGGCCTCCCCCGGACCCTGCATTCACTATATATACGCTCTCCTGAACCCTGAATTTAATACATCCACTCTCCACGGACTCTGCATTCACTATATCTGGTTTCCCAGGACCCCTGCATTCACTATATCCGCTCTCCCTGGACCCTGCATTCACTATATCTGCTCTCCCAGGGACCCTGCATTCACTATATCCGCCTCTCCCTGGACCCTGCATTCACTAATATCCGCTCTCCCAGGACCCATCATTCACAATATCTGGTCTCCCCAGACCCTGCATTCACTATAGTCATTCTCCCAGAAACTTTCATTCAGTATATTCGCTCTCCCAGAACCCTGCATTCACTATATCTGCTCTCCCCAGGCCCTGCATTCACTACTATATCTGATCTCCCCGGACCCTGCATTCACTATATCCGCTCTCTCCTCTAGACCCTGCATTCACTATATCCGGTCTCCCCCAGGACCCTGCATTCATTATATCCGTTCTCCAAGGACCCTGCATTCGCTATATCCGCATTCTCCCCAGACCCTGCATTCACTATATCCAGTCTCCCCAGGACCCTGCATTCACTATATCTGCTCTCCCCATACCCTGCATTCACTATATCCGCGGGGGGGGGGGGGGGTCCCCGGAATCCTGCATTCACTAATATCCACTCCTACCTGGAAACCCTGCATTCACTATATGTTGTGGTCTCCCCGGACCCTGAATTCACTATATTCGCTCTTTCCCTCGGGACCTTGCATTCACTATATCTTCTCTCATCCCCGGACTCATGTATATCTCACTATATTCACTGTTCCCGGACACTGCAAGTTCACTATTATAGTTCTCTTTCCTGGACCCATGCATTCACTATATCCAACTCTCCCAGGACTCCCTGCAATTCACTATATCTTTTCTCTGGTCAGCACCCGGAACCACTGCATTTCCACTATATCCACTCATCCAGGACCCTGCATTCACTATATCAATCCCCTTTCCCCCCCAGAACACTTGCATTCACTATATCTGGTCTCCCAGGACCCCTGCATTTACTATAATTCTGGACTCTCCCCAGCCCGGTACTCTGGCATTTCCTACTACTATCCCAACTCTCCATGTCGATCACTGCATTTCAAATAAATCATCTGCCTATTTGCGGCCCTCTGCATTCACTATAATTTCACTCTCCCCGCCCGTGGAACCCTGCAATCACTATATTCACGCTCCCTGTACCCAGTATTCACAATATCCCCCTCTTCTCCCGGACCCCTGTAATTACTAATAGTAGGAACCCTGCATTCACTATATCTGTGTCTTCACCCAGACGATGCATTTCACCTATATCCCATCACCCCTACATCCCCGCATTCACATGTATCCATTTTCTCCCTTGGACCCTAGCATATCACGCTATAATCTCTGGTCTCCCCGGACCCTGCATTTCACTATTATCCATTCCCTCGGAACCACACATTCACACTATAGTCACGCTCTCCCAGATACCTGCATTCACTATATACTGGGCCTCCCTGGACCCTACATTCGCTATAAACATAGCTGGCCTCCCTGGACCCTGCAGTTCACTATATCTGATCTCCCCAGGATCCCTGCATTCACTAAATCAGCTCTCCCAGGTCCCTGCATTCACTAATAATCTGGAGTCTCCTCAGAACCCTTCTAATTGCTATATCCTCTTTATTTCAGGGGGGGGGGGCCTTTTTGGGGGGGGGGGGGGGGGGGATTGGGGGGGGGGGGGGTTCCCAATTTAATTCCCTTGGGGGGGGGTTCCCGTGTTTCCCCCCCTTGATTTCCCCCCCCTGCATTTCACTATAAACTAGCTCTCCCAGCCCCCACCCTGGCCCCAAATTTAAGAAAATCCACTCTAACCCCCAAAAAACCCCCCCTGTTTCCATATTTCCCTAGACCCCGCCCTTTTACCCAAAGGCCTAAATCCAAATTTCCCCCCCTGCATTTACTTTTAAAATGGTCCTTTCCCTTCCCTTTAATTTAACCCAACAATTTGGGCTTTCCCCCGGGCCCTGCAATTCCCTATTTCTGGGCCTCCAACCCTGCATTCACTATCAAATAAGGAAAATGAAAAAAAATTTCTGCGCTACATGAAACAATTTTCAAAAAATTTTCCCAAATTCAAAAAGCAAAGTGAAAAAAAAAAAAAATAAAAATAAAAAAGTTAAAAAAAAAAAGTAAATTTCTTTAAAAAAAACAATAAATTTTAAAAACAAGGGTCAAAAGAAAAAAAAAAAGTAATTTTTTAAGTTTTGAAAAACCCAAAACAAAAATTCTTTTAAAAACTCAAATTTTAAACAATAAAGTGTTCTTCTGGAACCCTTTTCCTTGGTTAAAAGATAAATATGTGCATCTGTCATCAATTTTCCCTTCAAAGACATCCTCCACCATTAATCTGCCCCCTCACACCTTTAAAAAACCAAAATTTAAAATCCCAAAAAAACAAAAACCTAAAAGAAATTTTCCCAAAAACCAAAAACCAATAAAACCCAAAACAAACTCACCCCGAAACGCCGACAACCCAAAGACCCCTATGATACCCCCCCCTTCCCCGTTCACTCCCTTTTTGGCCCTTTTACCCAAACAGTTTTTGAGAAAATCCAAAAAAATTCCCCCCCCGGGTTCTTACACCACCCTCTTACAAAAAATTTTTTCAAGGGTTTATCCCCCCCTTTTTAAAAACACTTTTTTTTTCTCCAATATAAACAAAGGTGGCACTTTTAAAAAACAACGTAATTGGAGAGGATAAATTTAAGGGAAGATAACTTCCCGTTAAATTACCCCATATTTTCCCCCTTGTGGAGTTCATCTCCGAGAGTTCCGACAAGGGGTTTCAAACCGACCCCAAAATTTCCGGGTTTTTTTTGCCAGGCAAAGCCCCGGGCCCAATTTTTTAATGCTATTTGGGGCTTGGGAAAGCGTTCCTTAAAACCCAAACCGGGTTTTTCCCCGAGGGACATAAAACCCCCCCTCAATGAATGGGAACGCCGGGGACGGCCCCCCACACACTTTTCCCCGGGCCCGGGATTTTTTAAAATTTTTAAACCTTCTCCCCCCGGGGCCCCCGGGATTCCCCAATAAACCCTCTCCTCAGAACCCGCAATTCACAAAATTTACTCTCCCCCGGGGCCCTGCATTTATAATAAAAACACCCCTCCCTGGGCCCTGATTGTGCAACTACAGCGGAATGCGAGGCACGAATTAATGTTGAATGGATTGGTAATGGGTTGGCCCATTGGCCCGAGAGATACCCGGTAGTCACGATCACACGCAGGAGTCGTGCGAGTGGAGAAGTTGTGCTTTGGTGGTTCTATTAGATGTTGGGTTTGTAGCTGCAGGAGCGAGTGGGCGTAGACGTGTGATGGGAACGGACTAAGAGAGATCAGTGTGTATGGATTTACGTTTCTGTAGCTGTTTTTTTTTGATTTGTGTGAAGATTGGTTTTGAGGAGTTCCGGACGGCGCCATTTGGCAACTTGGAGACCGTTCTGGTCCCGGGAACCCCGCATTACTATATCCGACATCATCCCCGTGGATACTGGCTGCGGCCATACATTAGGAATCCGGTCTCCCGAGAACCGTGCCGCATTGGAGATTAAGGGGGTAAGCTGTGTCCCGCGGTCTCTGGGTCCCGGTTAGCTGGAACGCCGCTAGCGAGGCAAATTCAGTGGTATGTTGGGGGCTCTTTTTGATTGTGGCATTGTGGTCTGCAGGGAATATATTGGTCCGGATGTGATGTGTTATACCCTCCGTATTAGTTTCACTGATATCCGTCATATCGGCGGGACCTCTGCATTATAGATGTTAGATCTAAATGGGAGTCCGAATTCCATAAGCCACGGGTCGGGTCCTTTAGATTCACGATATTGCAGTCAGTTCTGGGACCTCCTATTCGATGGATATAGCCGCTTCCCTGACCCCCACATTCACGAATATTTACTTGTCTCCCCGTGACCCAGCATGTCACTAAATCCGCTCTCGCCTTCGGTGCCCACAGTGGTATCCACTGTGATCTACAACGCTACTCACCAGGACCCGCACATTGGAAAGGGATATCCGCTGGGCTTCCCCATTGACCCCGCATTTCGGAGTTATCCTGAATGTTCTTCCGGGTGGACCCTTGCATTCACTATTGTATCCGATTACCCACACTGGACCCTTGACATTCACTATATCTGGGTGTCTGTCCGGACGCTGCATTATCACTGATATTTGCGTACTCCTCAGGGCCCCTGCACTGTGTTCACTAGTTATTCTTGTCTCCCAAGAACACCTGCATTCACTTATAATCTGCTCTCCCGGCCCCCGGCATTCACTAAATCTGCTTTCCCTGTACCCTGCAAATTTACTTATCCGCCCCTCCCCCGTACCCCTTTCATTCCCCTAAATCCACTCTCCAACATTTTTCATTCAAATATCAGCTCTATTTTGGGGCCCCGCATTCACAAAAACCAAATCTACCTGGACCCGCACCTTTACTATATCCAAAGTCTCCCCCCACCCGCCCTTTCCAACCCAAACCGCTCTCCCCCCCCCGGACCCTGCATTCAAATATAACCGGTCTCCACGGACCCCCCATTCCCCAATTTTTCCCCGGTCTCCCTGGACCCAAAATTCACTTTTCTTTACTCTCCCCTGGAACCGAAATTTACTATTTTTCCCCCTTCCCAGACCCTGCTTTCACTCTATGGACCCCCCGGGAATTTTTACTATATCTGCTCTCCCAGGGGCCCCGCAATTAAAAATATAATTTTGGTCACCCCAACCCGCCCTTTACAAAAATTTGGGTCCCCCCAACCCCCGCATTCACTTTTATCCACTCTCACTGGGACCCACATTTACTATAAAGGCTCTCCACATAACCCCGTATTCCCCTATATCTGCTTTTTCCCCCCCGATCCTTTCATTTACTTTAACTTTGGGCTTTTCCCCCCCTCTGCATTTACTAACCAAAGGGCCCCCCTTACCCTGTTCACTAATTTTTGGCTCCCCAAGACCCCGCATTTCACTATCAATTAAAAGACTGAAAAAAATTCTGGGGCCCATCAAAAACAATTGGACAATTCCTATATCAAAAAGCAAAGTGAAAAAAAAAATAATAAAAATAAAAAAATAATGAAAAAAAATATTTCTTAAAAAACAATAAAATATTTTAAAAAAAGGGTCACAAAAAAAAACAAAAAGTATTTTCTAAAATTTGAAATTTAAACAAAATCATTCAAAAAAACCAAATTATCAACATTAAAGTTGGGCTTCTGTGAACTCTCCTTTGGATAACGAAATATATGTTTCCTCTGTCACAATTCCCTGCAAA